GCATCATGCTAGCCAATGCATACAACACGCAATGCTGATAACGTTCACGATGCCCAAACGGTGCTTTACGGCTTTCGCGACCGGTTTCGTTGCCTTTGGTGCGTAACAGTTTCACCATCACCGCGCCACTCAGCAGATCAAATTTCAGCCTCACTGATCTGAGCTGTGCCACCTCATTGATTCGGCCAGATAGATGTCAAAGAACAATTAGCAGAGCTCGGTTTTCCATCCCGATTCAGGTATTGGAATCCAGCATTTGCTCACAGAGCAGGCGCAATATCTCGTCAGTGATATCGTCCGCTGTGTTTTGTAACGTAATGCCTTGTTTCTGGGCATATGCCACGTATTTAAGGCGTGTTTTGACGCACTTTTACCTGGTACCAATGCAGGTCTTTAAATATGTCGGTCTTGCATATTCTGACAAAAATACCCTTTAAACAGCTAAGGTAGTTCACTGCCGTTTGCAGCGAGAAGAACCAGATTTTTTGAATTTCAGCAGCATATTTGTTGCAAACGTCCCGAATATTGTCTTCAGCGTCTTGTCGTCTTGGTCAGACAAATCGCTCAGATCAGTAATCGCTTTGAGGCCATCAGATTCATAACAAAAGTTCAGGAACATTGTGATCCGGCTCTATATTAAGCTAATGCAGACTTGCCTCGACTTGTATCAGCGATGTTGGTGTTCGCGTTGATCTCTTCTGTGATCGGAGGCAGGGGTGTCAATGGAAGTGGCATGTTTCGTGTTACAAATGAATCGGTTTATATAAGTCATTTTATTATTAGAATAATGTTACTTACAATAGCTATAGCTTGGAGGTGTATATTTGAATGTATTTGGCTCTGATTTAGGAAAGCTGGAGGAAAGCTGGAGAATTGGGCATTGCACTTCTATAAATCAGAAGCTAATCAAGATCCTGTTTTTTGACCAATCATCGAGTAGAATTATTGACACTTCAAACTGTTGAAATTTATGCACAAGAATATTAGGTAATCACAGATACATTATAACATATTTGTAAAGAGGCGCTAATCGGCTCTTCAGATCTGGGCCAAAAAGCTTGCCATTATCCAGTACATGTAACTAAGCATCCAGCCTTCTCCACATCTTACAAATACATGGGTCAGGTATGCAGCAATGCAATGGCGTTCTGCTGTCTATCTCGCCGACATTATTACCCCGAGTCCAAGGAGAACAAGGAGCCGCATGTGGTTGAAGACGAGAGCTGGAAGCGCTGGAGCTCTTACAATCTCATTCATCATTCAAATGTTTACAGACTGCAAGGCTTTGAAAAGTATACGCCTCCGACATATAAGAGTTTAAGTCAACAACCGGCCGAAGCCGTTTGGGAAGTTTAAAATATCCATTGCAAAATGATATTCCAATTAGGAAGTGAATTCGAACTTGAGTTTCCAAGTTTTCATTATTTTTGATCATCTAGTGCACTCTATTTGCGCATGGATTTCTTACTTCGTTTCTTCTTCTTCGCTGCACGCGATCGAGTAGGCAAACTCGAGCTTCGAGGCTTTTCAGTCATAAGCTCTTCATCTTTTTGATCATTTCGTTCTTGTTCTTGATCTTCTTGGACCTGCACGTCTACACTTTCGTTCTCCAAAAAAGTGCTAGTATGAACAGAGTCCCGCAGACTTGAACTGAGGGTAGAAGCCAAAAACGTGTCGGACATGTCAGCGGTATTACCATCGAGCTCCGTGTCCCGAAACACCTGCGATTCCTCGTTTCGAAAGGACTCAAAACTCGAGGCGTACGAGTCTCGGGTCATTACTTGCGTCAATCGATCAAGATCAAACCCATCATTATCATCTCCATGATCGGTTGATTCTTGATACTCCTCGTCCTCGTCGGCACCTTCCTCAGCGCTACCAAAAACTTCATCGTCCTCGTCGTCTTCGACTAGATCTGTTGCTCCTTTTTGTATCGCAAAAACCATGTTCCGGTCGCTTAGATCCCACATCAGTGAAGTTCGACTGCTTGCTACATCATTTTCATTTAAAGACAGCATCGTCATATCTTCTTCATCTCTTAACTGTTCAAGCCGTTGACGCCAGGCTTCCTCTTCAGCAGTTGTAGCCTCACTTACATCTTCGTGCTTGCCTAGTAGCTTATCTTCAAGGTCATTATCTAAATAATCATCATCACGGTGCTCGCGTTGTAAGCAACAGCAGCAGCAGCATGTATTGCCCATGAACTTCCTACGTATCACCGACAGTCGTCTAGGATACGCGGCTCTTGGTACTCCCTCACATGTACTAAATTGCGATAATTCGTTTTAATACAATAATGACAAAAAATTAAAATTGGTCTTAAAATCTCGTTAAGAAAAATGTTTCAGTTTCTTAGTTGGCGAATCCACATTTTCCAACTGAAGTTTAGGCTTTCGACTCTTCGGTGGGAGTTTGTGCTTCCACAAAGTACAATTGGCCAGATATTTAGGGCATTTATCGTGACGATTGGTGCCTCGACATTTTTCATTGCCAGTCTTTTCAAACCCTTCACACCACGTCCATTGGTAATGATCACAACTTTTGACTTTGTGACCTTCAAAAGATGTCGGTACAACACGCACAACAACTGGTGCAACATCCTCCATCAATTGTCGCTCGAGTGCAGTCGGTGTGAATGTTTGTCCTTGACTCGCACACAGCGCTTGATGAGCTCGGCGTTTCATCTCCGTACAGCGATTGCAAATCTGAAACGAATGCATAAAACACTCGAGATTCAAAACGCCCACTTCATTGATATCCAAAGCTTTAAATAAGGTCTGAGCTTCTGACGTTATCAATATATTGGCATGGGTCCCATCTTCAGTATTCGACTTAGAGCTGCATCCCGAAGGCTCTTCTTTTACATGATGATGACTCAAAAGTTGTTGAAACCGTGGCAAAGTAAGTACCGTATTCACAGGATCACAAAATTGATGAAAGATCTGTACAAGCTTAAAATCAGCAATGTCTGGCGTAATTGCAAGACGCGAAACTTTACTAGACGAAACCGATGTTGAAATCGCCCGTTGTAGAGGACGCAGTGTAGCAACTTTAGAAGGCTGTGACCCTGGTTTACGATCCATTGGTGCAATTGGCACTCCATAGCTGCCATTCATCTTCAGCATTGAATTTATCGCTGCTACATTTGCTATATTCATTGCCGCTACAAGTTGATTATTAAGCGTCCCCGAATTGTGCTGGTAAGGAAAAAGTGGTGCACTCGTCACTTTTTCAGCGTTTAAGAAAAAAGGTTGAACCTGCTGACCATAGTTGTCTAAGAACTGGTTGGCAGCAGCAACATAGCCAGAGGGGGAAAAGTAGTCGAATGGGGCTGCATATGCGGCACTTGAAGCATTGGATGAATTTGAAATGGACACCGGTGCTGGAGGGGGAATTTCGCTAGTTGCTTCTAGCAGAACACCTGGTTGAAAGTTCGGGGCGAAGATCGAGCTAAACATGCTGATAACTTCAGGAATTTCTTGCTCAGTGGTTGGTGGTACAGTAAAATGTGAAGGTGTTGTAGTCTCCAATCCATACAAAGGAGAAGATACAGCAGATGATGTTGAAGCGGCGGAAAGCTTTGAGGGTGATTCGACCATGGCAGATAATTCAGCATCTGTAAACAGTGGCAAATTATACTCGTCACTTGACAGATTAAACGGTTCTTCATCTTCACTTGCCTCGTCACTCTCTTCACTGTTTACTTCTTCTTCATGTTCTAGCCCGAACGGTCTACCTTGAGTCTGGCTTATACGGCGCTTTCCACGTGGAGATGTCGTGAATCCTGGCTCATAGACGCAAGTGGTCGAAAGCAAAGCAAAACGAGCTGGTAGTGAAGCTGTCGGTGTACGATTCGCCATTGCAGCTTCATACTGAGCAAGCCAATCCCCCTTAAAATTGCTGATTAGATTCGTGTCAACCTTGAGTCCAAGCTTGTTAGCATGCTCTTGCCGGTCAGCCTCCTGATATGGTTCTTCTTTCAGCACCGGACTAAGTGGCTCTAGAGCCGTCATATCAAGAAGATCATCTTCGTGACCGACACATGAAGCTAAATTCCAGAAATCTAAAGGGCAAAAGGTATAAGATATTGATTGAACATTCGAAAGTGATTTTGCGTAACGTTACCTTCTCCTTCTTCTTCGTTGTTCGGAGTAAAAAACGCTTCGAAACTAAGCAGATCGGAGTCCGTGTCTTGCATCGTAGCGAGTTCCATGTTGTTAGAGCTTGCCGACCTGGGATCCAGATGGCTTTTGAAATGATTGCTGCCAAGAAAATAAACTATTTTCAGACTTGTCGTGATGGTTAAATTTACTTTTTGATAAACAAGAGTTCAAATCTTATCTATCAAGATCTATAATGCTTGGCGGTATTTTGAGCGCGTGTTATGCTATTTCTACTGCCATGGCGTTGTAGAGTGTATGCGTTGGCGTTGACCCGATCAAATTGCCGCTGGTAAGAGCATTCTAGACTCAAACTCAATCATGGAATTGGTAAAGATTTCGAGAATGCTATAAATCTGATTTCTTAAGGCTTAATTAATACAGTCATTAGCGTAACATGTTGTGTCATGCTTTCGGAATGGATAATCGTGACTGTAGTTCATTTTGTACAGATCTGATCGATTTCATTGTTGTAGGTTCCGTTGATTATCCAAGGAAAAGATGCAACGGCGTCTTCGAACTATTTTCAGACTTTGCTTTTGTGAGCAACCCATTCATTATACTCTCACAGACAGAATAATAGACTTGCTTGACTCATTTACTCGATAAAAACTGGCTATTAACCCCAATTCCTTCAGATACGATACTATACTCGTAAATTTTTGGTCTCTACTTGCAAAAGCAAAATAACGCTGGCTTGTCCGTCGTCATACCGCCGTCTAGTGCACCCACCGAAATGCTCCTTTCTTACAAATTAGCCCCATCAGAATTTTACTGTTACAAAACCTAAGAGCGCAATTTGGTTAGTCGAAATTGATAACAAACATCGTCGAGCAAAATTTAAGTCGGACTTCAATGAATTATATCCAGCGAAATATCGTAAATCCCGATATTTGTGATAAAATTAGTATTTACAGATCAAAATAATGTGACTCAAGTATCTTTATTTAATGTCTACAAACAGGTTCAATAAATCAGAAAAGCCGGCATTAAAGCTTACATAGAAAACATGAATTTTGTATTAGTATATTATAGTTCTTCGTCACAGTTCGGTACTTAGCGTTTGTTACATCATTCGGGGTCTCAGAGTGTCACGGACCAGGTATCTTGAACCGTAGGAGTTGTGGGAGAAATGGGGTCATGCCCGTCGTATTCCTTGACCGACGAGTCTGCTGGTTGCCGTGTATTCACGCAGTCGGCACCAAAAAGTAGCACCTCGAGGATCCGCACCTCAAGCACATCAAAGTTACTCTGAAATGTAAGGCCATCAATAGGTTCAGTCGTGCTTTGTGGACTATCGAGGCTAGTGCGTGCGCGCTTTACGTTGCACCTTCCATTCTTGGGCGTTTGTGGAACGATGATACTCAATCCAGCGGCAGCTTGTTGTTCAAGAATGTGTTTCTTGCGCTTGTGCAGACGTTGTTGATTGGCATTGGCCTTGTGACGGTGAAAGTCGCACAATTTGTGCAACGTTCCATCCAATTTGGTTGCACGAGGTGCATCGCAGAATTTGCTGCGGTATGCGCACTGCATCTCACGCGTGAGTGGTGCTGTCTGTTTGGCTGTGGAGGAGGTCATTCTTGGGTCTTATGACCTGTTATCGACTGACAGTTTACGAGAATGAAACGCCTGGCGCATACTCCTTGACGCCACCGAATACGACATAAGCCCAATTGTTTGTCAGACAGGACGCTCGTCGACTCTTGAAGACCGTCGTGATGTGGTCAGCAAAAGGTTGTTGACTGGATGGTCCATGTGATGGGCAGACCAAATTCTTGACACTAAGGATGGTAAATCTTGGTGTTATGTACGATAAGTCGGACAGCGCCTCGCTTATGTTTTAGGCGGGGCGGAGACGACAAGGTTGCGTCAACGTGGGTTCAGCAAATTATTCGTACCACCGTCCTTACTCTAGGCAGACGAGATAGATTTTCGCGTTGACGGCATCCAGGGCTATTGATGTAATATCATGTTTTTAATTCTTACTGATGCATAAAAAAGCGTTTACTTTCTTATTCATGGAAGTGGCCTGAAAGATATTTCAACGCACGGATTAAAAATGGAGAGAGCGTTGTATCCTCCCACTCTGCCAACTGGCTCGGGGATGAGTCGCAGTAGATACTTCACTATGCATAGTAAAATCCACAAGCGTTACACCACAGAAATATAAGAGTCGATGTGGTGCTTATTGAAAGTTTGCAGATGTTTCATCATGGAAAATTACAGCGGCTGTTCCATAAAATGAAGTGAGCTGCAGTCAATCCACAGACCTGTTGGTCGTTGTCGAACTGTAATGCATTAGATATTTATTACTTATCAAGTAGTGGATTTTAGATGTTGGCATTCAAGAACTCGAAGTTATGTGTAGCTGTCGAATTGTTACGGAACTCGTCTCACAGCTCCATGTTTCTTATTATTCTGGACAGTGCAATATATTTACATGTGCTTTTGATGACGAACGTCGTCTAACTTTGAATGCTGACTTATGCAATCCTATCACACTTATTGGTTCATACGAATGTGGTTAAAGATTGTTAAATATCCACCAGTGTCTGGTATATCATTCCGTGAACCTATTATAATTGCAGCAATTTTTTGTAGAAAGCTAGATTCCCACCATGATACTACTACGAGCATGCCATCGTGAGACTTGCTGTCAGATTTCTTACATCAATTTTCGGCTATCTCAGCTGACTCGCTCCTCATTTTACCTTCTTTAAGAATGATTCTGGTGAAGCTACTGTGCGTAACGTAGGAAAATGATGATCGAATAGTAGGCACCGTATCTAAGCTCATTGTAAACATATTTCGTTATCATATATTGACTAAAAGGATGTGCTCACAAATTATAGCTTGAACGAGTTGACAAACTAATTTGCCAACTTATGACTTCTTCTGTTAATATGAATTTTGTCCTTAAAAGAAATAGATTGAAACTATAAGTTGTCTATATTGATGCATTCGCATAGAAATCCATTCATCTTGGATTAATGTTTGCATGTTTCGATATCCAGCGCTACGCAGTGCTCGATGTATGGAATGATATCTTTGCAGTTTAAGTTCAGCTCACAAATGGATTTCGCAGTTGATGCTGCACCTTGAGTACTTTTTCCGGTACACCCAACACCTACGCTCTGCATGCCAAGCTACTGGAACTGCTCAGCAAACATCCACGAGCACTTTTTGGGTTACATACGCAACAAGCATTTTGCTGTGCTTATTTTGTAGCGAGATGACTACGTGGCATGGGTGCTGATTCTTAACTATCCTTGCGGCACCCAATCTTTGGAATGAAGGAATAACTTTGCAGAATACATACAATCGCAATTTTAGATTGGATACGAGCTGTAGCTCCAGTCCAGTTTAAATTGTCAACCCAAAGCTGTCGGATTCCAGCTGATGACTGAGCATTGTATTGCGATTGCTGACCACCGAATCCTTGTGCATAGCACAGACGACATGATCAGATGGACGAATCGATCGTCTTTGAGATTCTGATAATTGGAAGGAAACATTAGGCTCGCAACAACGGCTGTCTGTCCTCGTCCTTCATGTCATCTTCAAGCGCGTTACACTAAGGCAATTGAGATGGTGAGCAGGCGAGTATTGCGACAATTAAAAAATTCGCCAAAGAAATTTTGTCACAACGTAAATCAGTCAATCAAGATTTGTGCCACGCCGAATGATATCCTGTCAAAAATTAATATATGAAGTCAAGAATTTTGATCACTTTGGTTGTTTTTGACAATGTTTTAGCAAAGAAACAAGTCTTATAGATGAGTGCGTGTAAAACACTACCTCAATTATCTTGCGAGGTATGAGAGTCAATGTTTGAACCTTTGAGATCGCTTTAAGGATCATGGTGAGAGCGTACATTAGCCTTTATATATACGGACTCTGCCAGAAACGACAGATAGATCTGATCTGCGTGAAGTACTCAAATTTAAAAAAACATAAATATACCATCAAAATTAATATATCACTGTTATGTCTTTTCCAAAGACTTATTGTTCGCTGTAAAATATTAATGTTCTGCATCAACGATTTCAATGAACATTTAAAATTAATGCAAATGCTATTGATGTAGACCGTGAGCTTTGCTGAAGGTTGCGAAGCCTCATATTTCGCTTGATCCCATCCGGTCTTAGTTTTTGATTGTAATACGAGTGATGTCTTTTCGACGCTTCTAAATTAAGCATATCTTAGTAAATTTGCGCTACCACGCTCACTAATAAAACTCAGTGTATTGCATGACTTGTGGTCAACAGCCACATTTCCCCCTTGATTATTATATACTTTGTTAACACAGTAGATTTCACAATTGCGCGAATGTGTATGTGTGCGTAGATATTATCGGATTATGTACACCCTTTCCCAACGAGATGGAATATACATTGGGAACACATTTAAGTTCACGACGGCGAAGGCGAACGCTCAATACGCAAGCACTGCGCTTAAAGTTGTAATCTCCTTCCAGTGTGTGTTTCTACGAGCGTACTTGCATCGGCGATTTAACAGAACACCATTGTGTTTTCGCGTGAGTGACAATGTTCTTGCGACCGGCTCCCTTTGAAGCCAATGTCGTTAAAGAATGTTAGAGGGTTCTCTGATGAGAACGGCCGAATCGACTGTCCGAGTCCTGATTCCACTATCACCCAGCGAAACACGGTCGAGCTGTGTCCTGAGAAGAAGGCACTCACTGCGCCTCACATCCATTGTGCACGAGTTACATACTTCGCGCAGTCCCCTACGGCAAGCGATACTGAACCACTACGCCGCGAAACAAACGACATTATCTAGTTTGTCACTTATGAGCTTGACCATGCTCTGGAGTGTCACCTTGCCCGCCAACAAGCACAAGCTATACAATCACATTACCGATTACTCTGAGTTTTTACCTAGTTGGGGCGTACGAACTTTACTCCTATGCGCTGTATAAGCTTTTTTTTACTGAAACTGCTCTCTGCTGTACTTGGTGGCACTTGTAATAAACTCGACGACTAAGTCTGGGAAGGACGCTATATATTCGCTGAGAACTAATTTTACGATATTCTCGCTACATCTAGCCACACTTCGTAAATCATGCTTTTGTTCTGTATTCGTATGGAGTGCAACTTTCATTCCACAAAGACCACTAATGCTACGAGAGGTGGAAGCTTTGAGTACTCCATAGACGATGGGCCCCGGCCATGCCGAGAAATATAAGAGAGTACTCTTAGCTGAGCAGCTACAATATACTTGCAGATGCATCATGTGCGGGAGAAAATGAATATTTTTGCCGTTCCTGTTCACTTTTCGTTCTCACTTGAGCGGTATGAGGCATCGGACCTCCATTTAGGGATCCGATATTTGCGCGCCACCCCCCAATTTAGAACTTGCGAGAGAGGCCCGCTATGCTTCCTTTGCAGCATGACCATATCAAATCGTCTACTACAGAGAGGAAGATTTTCTTATTCCGCGTTAGTGGACTAACACTAAAAGGTAGCGGTCTCGCGGTGGGAGCCAAGTGTGTTTCAATCGACAACTTTACTTAGGCCTTCCTGGAGTTGTTTCCAGCATATTCTTATAGCTGGCAAAGGCCTCCAGTGAGCGATCGCCAAATATGACCCATTAGCTGCTACTTACCTGATTCTTTTAAGGCTAGAAGCTTCCTTGAAAGAGGCGGGAGGCGTCAAAGGTCTAGGTCAAAGTTGCACCTGATTAGAGACCTTCCATGGAGATCAGGACTATAGTCACCTACCTCCCGCAATCGCAGCGATGAGAGTTGGCAATTTACTTCTTGTATCTCTCGTCAGATAAACAAAACCTCTGAACTCAAATGCCCGCGAAATATACTGCTTTAACCTTTCCCATGTCGGTAAGGCGTCTGTCATCAAGGGAATACTCACGATATCCGGTAGCCGCGGGGAGACCTGCTATTAAAGGTATGAGCTCTATTGATTCTCAATAGACCGAGGACGGTTGGACTCATCCCTATACGGAACAGCCATCGCTAAGCGATATAGAGTCGGACGCAGTATCCGTGTCTGGTGTCATAGCCGGTAGTATAAGTGTCAAACATTTATGTTAATCTTTCTGTGGTATTTGTGTATTTTGACAGCGTTGGATTGATGTGTTGTCTTGGACTTAAAGTCGAGACATGGTCATATTAAAGGTGTGGTGTGGCCTAAATATCATGATTCATAAATCAATTAATGTGGCATCAATTTGTTTCACGTACCTGCAACTCACAGATGCTATAGGGCCTCTCACGACCTGAGTAGGATGTCGTGGGCGTCATAGAAGGTACGGTACTTCAAATTCTCATCATGAGGAACCACAAGTCGTTGTGTATCCGTCGAGTCAGTGCTATAATACAGCACCCTGTGATTCAACGAATATCAGTGCAATCATGCGCGCAGTCGCGCCGACAAGTTCTTGTCCGAGTTTATAAACTCCTTGCCCCCGAGAGCCCGTAGTAGCGCTACGCACATATCATTACCCGCGTATTCGGCGTGGATCAAATCCGTCACGGACGACGTCACCGTCGTGACATGAGCAAGCTCATAATCTGGTTTGCGTGACAACGCATCGAACTAAGCATTCTACTTTCCTGGCTTATACTTCACCTCGAATTTACAACTTGCGAAGGAGGAGATCCACCTTCTACTGGGGTGAGACGTACTCTAGTACAAAGGGGCGGGTCACACAAGATGGTGTGATCACACAATGGTGTGGATACATGTGGCGGGACTGCCAATAGTTATGCATTTAATTTAGGCTTTCTAGTCATTAGGAAATGTGTATTTGCCTTGTGTTATAGTTGTGGGTACTTTTAAAAGTTAGCGAATTGCAATCCGCTACACTCATCCTGCTTCTAGTAAGGAACGTATGGTCGATGACCTTAGCTTAGCTTCCTTTAAGCAATGAGCTACGGCAGCCCCGCTGCGCTCGGTAGCGCTTGCGGTCAGGATTCGTTACGACTGACCCTCTGTGAGCTTCTAGCAGTACTCTTTTTGCCCTAAGGGCATGCAGGATGCGCAAAAAAAGCTGACGTTTCAACTTGTTCTTGAGGGCGTGCAGCATCTCGTTTCACAAGGACCTGAAGTGACTAGCGCGCGCCTAGAGGGATTTCCGAACAATGAAAATGCGCTGCAAGGGCACCTAAAGCAGAAGATGTCGGTGTCGACTGCGTCCATGACGCCACCGTTAACGACGGATGACTTCTCCCGACCCAGGCCGCTCCTGGTGAGCGTTAGGGTTGGGATGGAGAGAATCTTCTGCTTTGGGTCAGAGAGGCCGAGATAGCTATAGCATCCGCCGTGCTTCAGAAAGAGCAACATCTCGTAGCCCTTGCTATGTTCAAGCTCGAGAATCAAGCGCAAATATGGGCACTGAGGCACGGCACTTCAGTAGAAGCGGCGTTGGACGGAGCTGAAGCGGCAGGCAGCATTTACGTGTATTTTTGTTGCCTATCCAGGCATATCACGTGCAATCGCGTTTCCACACCACCCAACCGGGCAAGAAGATATAGGTGGACTTTGTTCAAATGTTACAAACGATCATTGCCGATATGGCAGCCGATTCCCAAGGTCGCGCAACCGTCTTTATGGTGGGCCCCACACTGGCGTGGCCAAAATGGAAGTCTTCCGTGTGCACCCACCTTA